TATTTGCAATTTTGTGTGTTTACGGTGAATAGGGAATAACTTTTTCTGGTATAAAGTCATTAGATATTATTAAAATCGTAGTTGTGTTTCCCCTTATTTTGAACAGCTTCTGATTACCACTTAATACAAGTATAATCCCTTTTCATTCTAATTTCAGGTGTTTAACATGGATGAATATAAACAGTATCTGAAGTTGTTATCTTTCGTTGTTGGAATTTCAACAGACGTTGTACATCATTATTTTGAGATTAGATTTTTAAACACTTTAACTTTCGATGCGTTTTTGAATAGTTACAAACATATTCTTTTCCACGAATATATTCCAACAGTTCAGTGTTGTCAGTGTTTTCTCCTGTCAGTTGCCGCGCCAAATAAACGTGGCTGTCTCAAGAAAAATCAGTTTTCATTGTTATTTGACTCGAGTGGACCTGCTGTACCGAATCATGCCAAGAGAAGTATACATGGATCTGTTTCCCAATATTGTTTGTGCTCCATTTCCCCAGTCAGCAATGTTAGTATTGATGTTATGGATATATCACTAGTTTGTGCCTTAGTTCGAAAATGTTGTCTTTCTATACCGGGTAAACCCTTATGGTTAGAAATAATTCGAGACACGAGAAAATACCTAGTTCATCTCTCTTCGGGTCAGCTGTCATCTCAAGAATTTGAAAAGAGATGGAAAATTGTAGAAACAGCTGTAATAGATATAGCTAGCATTTTTGGAACAACATACCAGAAGACAACAAGAAAACATATATCTGATCTCAAAATGGATACTTTATCATTGGATGGTGTGAAAGATATAATCAAAGATATTAATGACGAAGCAAAACAAGTATTAGATACATACGCAAAAGTATTACAAATAATCTGAATACTACATGCCCGTCTCTTTTATATAGTTACTAGTATTCCTTTTTGGAAGTGTGATGCTAAACTACAATATCAGACGCTTAAACATCCGTTTATAACAAAATCGTTTTTACAACAGTTTTTTTTAGGCTGTCAGACAGAGTAAGCTCTAACTTAGGAGGTCTACAATTATTTACTTTACATCGTGTTTGAGACTATCGTGACTAAGGGATAAAGACTTTATGAACCATCTTGAGTCCTCAAATTATTTTCACATGTAATGGTGAAAACAAAAGTGGATCAAGTGTATAGCATGTCTTTTTACAACAGTAATACAGATATAAATTTGTATGAAGACGTTATTAGTTGTATTTATGGAAATATTTCATTACTCCAGCATGTGCTCTTTCAAAAACATTTTTAGCGTTATGAATAGACATTGAGTACCAATAAGGTTGACGCTTTTTCGTTCTGCTGGTTGATATAGTCGAGCGTTTGATTTGTCAGGTTTTATTGTCTTCCCCTTTTTGAAATTACCTTGGAGTTCGGTAATTTTGTAAAAACCTTTTTAGTTGATGTTAGTTACAGTCTTAATTTGATGTAAATTGTCATCAATCAGACAGAGTTGATCTAAGACAGATTATCTGTTTTGTTGATGCCAGTTTGGTTATGCTTGCAAATGTTTTATGTGTGGACGATCTACAGGCACTTGTCTCTGAAATGTTTTGTTTTCATATATACCTAAATATATTAAAGTATATAGGTATTTTTTTCAGAGACAAGTGCCTGTGGGACGAACCAAATACAGAAGAAAAAACTTATCATAAGAAAAATCTACATAAAAATCAATGTTCTGATCAATCCAAAATCGGTAACTTTTTTTGACTTATACATTTACAATGTAGGCTGATATCACGTTTTCAATGTCGTTTCTCTCTCCCTGTATTGTTTCTCTACTTTGCATAAAATGTAAGGAAGCATTATATGATTTTCCGCAACTTGGTTGTATCTGATTACCGAAAGAATATGGGCAGAATAAAGAAAATAAATTCCGTATCATTTTAAAATGAGTCAAGTGATTTTTCAACATACGATTTTATAAAAAATGAAAACAACACGTTATAAATTTCATGCGTTCGAAGCGCTTTTCTGGATATACCTTCATCAGGAACGCTCAAAGCCAAATATTTGAAAACCAAAAATGTATAATAACCTAAACAATTGAAGAGCTATATAATCAGAAATGACCTAAAATAATAACCAAATCTATCTGAGGTCAACTTTGTATGAGAGAGTTGAAACCTTAGTTTCTTATAATTTCAAAATTTATTAACGGATAATTTTATAACAAACAAAATGAGTTTTCTATGAAACTTACCTGATCAATCAGGCAGATTGTTGCATCTGATAAGGAATCGGATACACGGTGATTGATAAAAAGTCTACTTTGTATTTGCGTTGTTTTAAAGGAGATATAAGGCAGTTGTTACCTGTGAAAAAAGACGAAGTCCGTATAAATAATTATTTAAATACTAATTTTTTCAAAATTAAAAGTAGAAAGACTAGGAAATGTTTAGATTATAGAAATTTTGAATAGCTTTGAGACACAATTCAAAACTCCAGGCGTTTCCAGTCAAACGGGTTTTCAAACTAACGATCGAGTTCATTTTAATCCGTATTGATAACTTGGTACCCACCTATCTAAATTGTACAATTATCACTTGGTCTACCAATAAGGAAAAATCACTTCTACTGTCGTACCAGCTGTACAGCTTGACTAACATTCCCAAATAATTCATCAATAACTGCATGTTTTGTTAAGTTTGATTACTATACAACTTATTTTTGGTGTCATTATGTCATCGATTTTTTTTTCAGATCTCAATTGTATTGTTTTATTCTCGGCTTTAACAATCAATAGCGATCGTATTCGTATTTGAGGGATTTTAACAAGATGACAAGATTTTTACACCCCTTTAGTATGTTGGCTGGATGCGGCCATTTCGTGTATAAAAATTATGCTTTTATTTTTTTCATTTAGCGATACCACGAAAAGCAGGACCGGTTTTCATTCTACATTTCTAGTTTTCGCTTTTTTCAAGTTTTTACTTTTTTGCTTTGTTGGTTTAAAAATTAGACGAGACATACATCATCCCAAAATCAGGAACACATCAATATTTGAGCATATACTCTAGAAACCACCCTCCTAATATTTGTGGATGGAACTCTACTAAATATAAACATATGCTCTTAAATGTATTTTAACTAAACTTTTCAAAGATTTAATTTGCTGTTTTATTTCAAAAATGAAACTTAACTTAAATATAAGAAAACATCAATGTGAACTTAAACGAATAGTAGGGCTTTACAAGTTTATGCTAAAATGTATGCCAATAAACTACTGTTTAAAAAACCAGCCTTTGTTTATACATTCTAATTTACTTTACAAACATCTTGTTATACCTGTACTAGACTTAACTGAAACTTACATCTACAAATAAAGCTTTTCTATAAATAAGATATAATTATGATTGAATTTTGCAAATCTATTCTTATGTCTGTCTAAAGCATAAAGGTTTTATGTATTCATTTTATCTATTAGAAACTTGCTGACGTATTGAGAAATCAGAACGAAAATAAAAATGAGATCATGAAAGCATTGGAAACCCAGTTCGGTTAGTATCTTTATAAAACATGTACAATTAAAGGTAATAATATGAACAGCATGATCAGAATCCCAACGATAAACGACATTCTGTGGAATTTGCTTGGTGGTAATTGTATGTTTTTAAAAATTACAAATTCGGGGAATCAAATTTTATACTGTTTTGTCGTGTTAATGTTCACACATTTGTTTTTCCATGTTTAAAAGAGAGGCGAAAGTGTTACCAAAGGGACATTCAAAATCATAAATCTAAAACAAACTGACAACGCGATGACAAAAAAAGAAGAAACGACCAAAAAAACAAACAACAATATTCAAAATACAACATAGAAAACTAAACACTGAGTAACACGAACCCCACCAACCGTTTGAGGAAACGGCAGGTATAAATATCTTTTGAACCGAAACGAAATTTCCAACTTTGTAATAGGAGTTTTGCACGGTATCTAAATGCCATTTAAAATTTTCAATTTTTTTTTATAACAAAGTTTGGAGACTTATTGGTTTTGCTCAGTTTTCCTTTCTTTTCAATTTGAACTTGTCCGCAGCAGTTCTAAAAAAAACCGCTTGTCAGAATTACTTAGGGTTCCACAATATGTTAGACTTACATGTCTAATGGTGCCATCAGGGTTTAAAATATTTTATTTGCCAATGATTATAACCTGAGAACAGTTAGTGATAGCTATATGTATATATATAGACAAATGGGGTCTTCAGGAATGACAATGGGAACATATGGCCTACTTCAGTTCAAAAGGTCAATAGTCAATTTTTACAGTTTAAAAAAAAAAGGAAATTCTATTGAATTGAATGAATAAAAGGGAGAGTCCTTATGGGTTAATACTTATGAGGAATTTGTTCGGGAGACTCCGTAATAGCATCCTTTTACAATCATTTCTTGTTCATTCAGATTTAAACTATATGGATAGAGAAATAAACAGAAGATGCATATTTTGAATATCTGTATGTTAATCTTATTTATATGCAGGAACAATAAGTATGTCTGACGTTAATTTTTTCTCGTCATTGTAAGGAAAAAAACTCATCAAAGATACCAGGCTTATAATTTTGTCAGACGATCGTTTTGTCTACATAAGACTCATAAGTGACGCTCGAAACAATTAAAAGGCGGAAATAAAAATAGTATGACAATGGAATTATTGTGATATGATTGTTGGAAGTATATTAGTTCCTTTATAAAAATGCTGTTTTGATATATTTTACAACTTGTTTGTAAATAAAGGCAACAGTAGTATACCGGTGTTCAAAAGTCATAAATCGATTGAGAGAAAACAAATCCGGGTTACAAACCAAAACCGAGGGAAACACATCAACTATAAGAGGAAAACAAAGGAACAACAGGAACACCGAAGTGCAACAAAAAAAAAACCGCCAACACACATAGAAACGAAATATTTCATAACTGTAAGACAGAAATACATGCATCTATTTTACAAACTTCAGAAAAACTGTCATTTGACATCCGAAATCTGACTTTTGAAGTGCAGATTAAAAGAAAGTCAATATCACAAGCTTCAACTCAGTTGACTGTAGAATGCACAGCAGGCGCAGGTAAATAAATCAACCAATCGGTTTCTATCATTATTGTATTTAATTTTTAACGTTGTAAGGGACAAACATACTATTTCTTCAAATACGTTTTACTCAGTAATAACATTGGCGAAATCTATGTTTTTGTTTATTGATTGTGTAGGATTTCTCTAGAAATTGGCATAACTAAGTAACTAAGTAAAGAAAAAATAACTTTTTTGTACACTTTTAATGTATTGATATCGGATCCCTTCAATATTTATAGCAAATGTGTTAAAGTATTTTCTTTTCATTTAGGTCTTTCCTTTTACCACCGAAAAGAACTAACTGTATTTTTATGATTATTTCTATTATTTTCATTTTTAACATAATTATTTTCCGCCACATCTCGAAACCTCTTCAAGAATATAGTATGTGACATACAAAAATGATCTTCGTTATTAAGTATTGTGCAGATATCAACTATTGGAAATCGACTATGGCAAACCGAAATATATTTCTCTAAAAGAGGTATATCACCGAATGTCGGAATTCTTTGTAACGTGTTAAACAGATAAACCATAACAGGTATAGGAAAACCGAAATTGGTTATGGCCTTTGGGTTAAGGCGGAATTCATTACATTTTAACGAAATTAATTATCATATGGGAGATAACTTCAAACCCCGAAACCGTAGAAGTCGATGAGATCTTAGGTCCTTCATATTGATCTTATTGGCACGCGACCATTATAAATTTCAAAGTGAAAGATCATTGTGACCTTTCCACCTTATAATTTTATCGAATGAAATCGGAAATCGTAACAGTCATGATGACCTTACCTTGTAAGAACTTTTGATAAGAATAGAAACACACATAGTAAATGGTTAAGAATGTATGAGATATCAAGCTGTAAGTTAATCAGAATAAGAAAGAAAAGCTACAAAACAAAACAATTGCAATCAAAGGTCCAGAAAAGTCGTAAGTGGCCAAAACTAGTCTATGTTAAAATGAGTTATAGGGATCTATTGTCAAATTTATTGAACTGCTTGACATTTAGCATAAACAAAGTTAAATAAAACTAAGGTCAATTACACCTCCGTTAAACCAATACTACCTTTTATCTTGAGAAGTGTAATCATCTTTTGAGATTCAGAAGGAAATAGGCTATCAATGAGAACAACTTGCAATGAAAAAGGGCGTTTTCTGTTTTGTTTGGACAAAGTAGCTCCTCTTTACAAATCTGTTCAAATCACCTTTTAATTTAAAGTTTTCTTTTATATTATTTCAAGTTGGAGCTGGAAAAGAAGATGATTCCTTTGCAGATGTCACAGGTAGAAGTAAAGTATCTTATTTATGTCATCTAATGTTTCAACATTGCTTTCGTTTGCACGGATTTGAACCACAGTCTTGTTTGTCATTTGCTTCTAAGAACTTAACCTTTGTTCAAAAAGTAAAATGATAGGTTCAGAGGATTTTTCAATAGCAATGATATGTGTGTTTTTGGCGATGTTTAAGTTTATAAAAAAGACCTTCAATCATCTCCAATCGCATGACACATAGTTACTGGATTTGACTAATCATTTTTTTATAAGAATAACATGACGGTGTCTCTATTGGAGATGAAAATACCGACGATTCAGAGCATCCGACTTAAAACAATTTTGTTCATTTCGCGTTGCTCAACCATAGGATTCGCCACAGTGTTCTTTGGAATTTGTTTTGGTCATGGTGTTTTTCTTTAACTTATGCCCACTTGGTATCCTTCCTTTTTTGTAAAATATTTGTCTTGGTGTCACGTGAATATATTATATTAATGCGAGAACGACGGATTTATATCATTTATTGCAAACTAAACGAGATATTATACCAACATTTGTTTTAAAAGTTTAAAACAATTAACAATTATTACCGAGCTGGGTAAGGTTTTGGTCACTTGTTCTAGTCATTTCATCAGTTGAAGTTTAATGTTTTTCGGTTTTCTAGAATTCAACCTTCATACCAGTATTTTTTGCACTGGACGAAAATAAATAAAAGGTTTGCTTTTGGAATGATCACCACCGATGAACTTATTCTTAGGGGAAGACTAGTATATACTGTTAGCAAATGAATTTCTGTAGCAGAAAGAAAACAGGTAATTTAGAGACGAATACCAAAAACGTATTATGATCGTAGAGAGCGAGCGAGAGAGCGAGAGAGCGAGAGAGAGAAAGTACAGGTGATAAGCTTTCGAATGATATATAATATAGCCGTATGTTAGGTGGGTGCATTAAAGTCGTTAACTATGCGTCTTTTTGAAAAATGTCACTCGCCTATTGGGTGTGGGTCGCCTGGCTCGATCCATACATTCAGGCCATAAATGAAAATTATTTACGTTATTAAAGACATATTAAAAATGCAACACTTGACTCCTATATATCATCTTGAACCATTGAAATATATACTCAATCATGAGTTTTGCGATTAACCGTGTAAGGAAACAACTAATATTATCAGTGTGTTTTATTATATGGAAAGGGGTATTATATAAAGAAAACCTTGAAGAAAAACCTTCAACAACTGAAAAACATCAAACCATTATCCCCCATAATGGTCATTATCCATGTCCAACAAACAAACAGATGGTTGTGACTCGCATGAAAAAAAAACATTTAACATTGAAATGAAGTTTGAAGTCAAAATATATGACACAATAGTTACAGATTTTACATCTGACATGTCTGAATCAAGTGTTAGACACTTCTGTTGAATAATCATGCAGATACTGATATAGATGTTTGAAATACTGAATTGCTAAAACTCTAAGCTTGTAATTTTTTTCGAAGTGATCTGAAAATGTACGGAAATTTAAGTTGTTCCGGCTAGGACAAATTTTGTAATTATTTATTGACTTTCGGTCCTATAATAGGGGCGTGCTTTCAAAATTTTTAAGTCACAAAGGTTTGCAACATCTGAGGCTAAGGCACAAAGGCGTAGATACAAAACAATATAAATCATAGTTATTAAACATAAACTCACCGAGACAAGTTGTAACTATCCTACTGTAAAAAATGAGATGAGGTCATAATATAGGACGTATAATTTAGGCCAATGTAAACACTAAAACAGAGATTTTTTTTAAAATAGATTTTAATTGAAAAAAGCTAGTATATGATTATCTAAATTATCCATCTAGTAGATTTAGATATCATTTGTGATCGAAACTATTATATGTAGTGTTACGTCGAAGATACCAATTCTGCCTTTTATTCGACTAGGTAAACAAATTCAACGCAAATATTTCATGAGGTCACAATGTAAACCTACAGCCGTGCACGTTCATATCATTAGTCTACATGTTTCTCATATAGACATCGACTAGGACATTTAGGCTTACACTCCAGAAGGTTTTCAAAAGGTACAGTTTCAAATATTAGCAGATAATTTTATTGTGTACCAAATTATATATGTTTAACAGTAGGATATCACTGTATCATGGAATACAGAGGACAGGGACTCAGTTTGCTGATATATATGTTTTTTAATCCTTGTAATTTTTATTTGTTTTTTTCGTATTTCCTGTCTATTTGTATAAATTATTAACATCCACACTACCATTTGTATGTTAACTAGCAACATGCATTTTACTACCCATATAGGCTGGGACTGTTATACTAACTTAGTATAATAGTCCCAGATATAGGATTTTTCAGTATACATATAATGGATAGTAAAATACACATTGCTAGTAACGGAACGACAATTTAACTTCAAGGGGGGGGGGGAGTTATGGTTTTTTCCTTAAAAAATATTCTGATCCCCAATTTGATGAGAAAAAAAAATTGTGGTCAAGCAGATGACAACGAAAAAATATTCTGAATCCAGATTTTCCCAATACCTTATAGTGTTAAATTTTGAAAAATAATAATTTGATTGATAGCATCGAAAAACTAAAAAAAAATTTACATACCCCCCCTCCCTTGAAGTTAAATGGTAATGCTCCCTAAACACATAGATTTAAGAACCAACGTTTTGATAATTTGATACATTTTAATAGACAGGATATACGTAAAACAAATAGAACTACAATGATTAAAATAAAAATATATCCACTAACGGAGTCCCTATGCTTCAGAGAACAGGTAAGATGTCTCATCTAAATCAGATATTTCTTATAAATGATAAAATGAATAAAATAATAATGCTGAAAAACAAATTGTCCCCTGCTACACTATGTGATGGGTTTTTAAACCCTTCCCTCCAACAATGAGACCCCTGATCTTCACCTGTCTGTGAATGTTTGTTAAAGGGGCATTAGCTACGAGATATAAAAAAATATAAAATATGATTTTTTTTTTGTTTAATCATTAATGAAAGTGAAATAGTGAAATAATGATTTGCTTTTAGCAGCCAATCTGGTTCAATTTTGTCAAAATAAGCTAAGACACGTCTGCAAGTGAATAATTTGACCTCACTGAATGTGTATTCATGTGACCTTCAATTTAACCCCTTAGCTGGAAATAAGTTATGCATGTATTCAGGTATTAAAAGGAAAAGAATATATTTCAACATTGAAATTGAAAAGATGGTTTTTTGTCTGAGTCAGAAATTTTTTTCGACCAAAGCGCGAACATTTTTTTAAAAGTTTTTCGACGATATCAATCAAATTATTTTTTTCAAAATTTAACACTATAAGGTATGGGGAAAATCTGGATTCAGAATATTTTTTTTTGTCATCTGCTTGATCACAATATTTTTTTTCATCAAATTGGGGAATTATCATTTCGTCATTATACTAATTCTCTTAAAGCAATTGATTCAAGTTCATTACAAATGTAAAAAAAAAAGGAACCTAGTTAGGTCAAGATCACATCAAAATTTGTGACACATGAACAGAAGGTAATTACAGTGCATAAATGTAACTACATGTGATCCATATATAATACCATTCAAAATAATAATCTCATTGATGCAAACCATTTAAGATCACATGTGATCAGTGTTTGAAAATTCAAGCAATAGATATGTAAATTTTAAGTGTTAAATGTTTCATCCAAGAAAAACAATTTTAAGATAACTGTATAAAGTTATTTTAGGTTATCTTTTTTGACAACAACAGTCATAAAAATGTTTTTCCATTAGTCATGGTAGTCCTGTTCCGTGGTACAAAAATGTACAAAATGTCACCAGGCTAATTTGGACTTATTTTCATTTTATCATTTTATTTAGAAATTGGATTTTTACAAATATATGGTTTTACAAATTAAGCAATTTACATGTCAAGACAAATTTAATAAATGTCATTATCTTAACTAGTGACATTTGATGTTAAAATGTTTGCGACAGATTTATTAATTTGTGAAGTTACTTTAGAACATACTCACCCATTCTCACCCGGACTATGCCTCAGGCTTTAAATATTCATAAAACATGACCAAGTATTATTATCTAACCTAAACGTAATTAATATTAGAATACAGCAAAGTGCTCTCAACCAATGAAATTGTTGAATTTGGTGTTTCTTGATTGTGAAGAATGAATGTAAATCATGTTTGAAGTAAGGAATTATCCTATTGTTTATGCCTACTTACAGTTCAAAACAAAGAGTTTCTATAAATAAGTTACAAATTCCCCAAATCACATTTATCAGCTTGAAAGGATTTGTGATCAAAACTGACTAAGAGTTGAATTTTAAAACAAACAAGAAAATCAAAATAAGTTGAAGTTTACTGGTGCAGTAAAATTGGTACCATTGAATATTAATATTTTCAAATTTATTAAAAATTAATATCAAAGCAATGCAAAAAAAAAGAAAAAAATGTAGAATTAAATTTAACCTAAATCTTTAGCTTAGTAAGTACGCTTACCAAAACTCAGATTCCTGGATCTGTTATTTACAAATAAAATCATGACCCTTAACATTTGGGGCGCCAAGACAAGTACCAGCTGACCCCTTTTACACATGTACAAAATGTATTTAAAAGTCCTGAGGAAACAATAACTCAATTCCTGCAACAATATTGTCCTTAATATTTTATTTTAATATGTAACTTGTTAAGTTTATACCTGTAAAATTTCCATTCATTTTTGTAGATAATATAATTGCTTTATATGGTAAAATATAAACAGCTAAGGATTGATAATGCCACCAACGGGAAAAGAGGCAGCTTTGTTAGGAGTTGGAGGAGTAGTAGGAGTTTCATTAGCTGCCTGGAAAACACTGTTCCCATGGATTAGCTATGATTTACCAATATTGAAACTAGGAAGAACGTATGGAAAGAAAGCAATGGCAGATACACTTAATGGACACTTTCTTATTAATCTTTTTGAAATCTCTGCAAAAGCTAATCCTAAAAAACCATTTCTAATATTTCAAGATAGAATTTTTACCTACGAGTTTATGAATGAACAAGCATGTAGAGTTGCCAATATAGCCTTACAGATGGGATTAAAGCTTGGAGATACTGTTGCTATTCTTGTATCAAATGAACCAGCATTTGTTTGGACATTTCTAGGTTAGTATGATGCTATTTTGTATTGACTCGAAAACAATGAAGAAAGTTATTAAGATATTTTTAGGACTGTAATTTAATGCATGGTCTATCTTTTTGTGGATCTTTCAATGTAAATCAAACATATCGTGTGGGCCTTTCTTATTGACTTAAAAATCATGATAAGAGAGAGGCCAAAGATACCAAAGGGACATTCAAACAAATAAGTCAAAAATAAACCGACAACACCATGGCTGAACAAGAAAAAGACCAACAGACAAACAACAGTACACAAAACACAACATAGAAAATTAAAGACTGAGCAACACAAACCCCCACCAATAATTCAGTGATCTCATGTGCTCCAGAAGGGTAAGCAGATCCTGCTCCACATGTGGCATCCGTTGTGTTGATCATGTTAATACAAACCTGGTGATAAGTCTAATTAGGTAGTTCACATTAGTGGAAAAGGGGACTGGGTTGTAGTTACAACAATTGGAACATATCTCTTGTCATCTGTGAAACGGATATTCCATAACGGTCAAGCAACTCGTGATGGTGCTCGTAAAATTTACAAAGGGATGATTTTAACTTCAACACTTGAAACTCTTGGTTTAATAACTTCCTCTGAGCAGCAACCCTCTATCAAGAAAATCATGATAGGAAATACAAGCCCTGGAATATAGTATCAATTTGGGAGATATATACTCTGTATGCAGGCGCTGCTTGAATGTTGCTACATAGAAATGGAAAGTTCACTATTGGGAAGCTGAAATAATCTCTTTTGTTGTAAAGTTCTGTTTTCAACTGACCCCCATTGTCAATTTCTATATGTAAGTCAAGATATGAGGCAGACTTAACTGTATCTGTTGTATCCTTTATTTCAAGTTATGTTGGATAGATGCGTTCAACATAGTGACCAAAATTTGAAATATTTAGTTAGAGAACATCATCTATATAGTGGAAAGTGAAGTTAAAGGATACTGCTAACTTCTTTTCTATCGTCCTAAGAATGTTTCTGTATGAAGTCAGCCTCATATGAATAAAGGAACAAGTTAGCAAGAAGAGGAGCATAGTTGGTTCCCATGGGAATGCCGATTGTTTGTTGAAAAACATGTCCTATGTGGACTTCAAAAAACCAGAATATGTATCTTTTTGCTGATAATTAATTTGATATGGATCTGACAGCACACTATGGAACTTTTGTATAATGTAGTAAGAGATAAGCCCTGGTTTCTTGCACAGATAAATGTTAATCTTTTCAGAGCATCCATATTTTATCTCTTTTTTAACATGTTTAATGCAATGTTGTCAGATGTGTTTTCTATATTAGATATACTTATCATTAATTTCCAAATGTATGCAAAGATTTTCTCTTTTATATATTATTGTCTTTCCATAGGTATGCAAAAAATTGGAGTTGCAGTTGCTTTGCTGAACACAAATAACAAACATAAGCCACTACTACATTCCATAGAAATCAGTGAAGCTAAAGTAGTGATTGTTGGTCAAGGTAATGTCTCTTCAATGACATCAGTATAGCCAAAGTACTAATTGTTGGTCAAGGTAATGTCTCTTCAATGACATCAGTAAAGCCAAAGTACTGATTGTTGGTCAGGGTAATGTCTCTTCAATGACATCAGTAAAGCCAAAGTACTAATTGTTGGTCAAGGTAATGTCTCTCCAATGACATCAGTAAAGCCAAAGTACTAATTGTTGGTCAGGGTAATCTCTCTTCAATGACATCAGTAAAGCCAAAGTACTGATTGTTGGTCACGGTAATGTCTCTTCAATGACATCAGTAAAGCCAAAGTACTAATTGTTGTTCAAGGTAATGTCTCTTCAATGACATCAGTAAAGCCATAATACCTATTGTTGGTCAAGGTAATGTCTCTTCAATGACATCAGTAAAGCCATCATACCTATTGTTTGTCAAGGTCATGTCTCTTCAATGACATCAGTAAAGCCAAAGTACTAATTGTTGGTCAAGGTAATGTCTCTAAAATGACATCAGTAAAGCCAAAGTACCTATTGTTGGTCAAGGTAATGTCTCTTCAGTGACATCAGTGAAGCCAAAGTACTAATTGTTGGTCAAGGTAATGTCTCCAAAATGACATCAGTTAAGAAAAAGTACCTATTGTTGGTCAAGGTAATGTCTCTAAAATGACATCAGTAAAGCTAAAAGTACCTATTCTTGGTCAAGGTAATGTCTCTTCATTGATATCAGTAAAGCTAAAAGTACTGATTGTTGGTCAAGGCAATGTCTCTTCAATGACATCAGTATAGCCAAAGTACCTATTGTTGGTCAAGGTAATGTCTCTTCAATGACACCAGTAAAGCTAAAAGTACTAATTGTTGGTCCAGGTAATGTATCTTCAATGACATCAGTAAAACCAAAGTACCTATTGTTGGTCAAGATAATGTCTCTTCAATGACATCAGTAAAGCTAAAAGTACTGATTGTTGGTCGAGGTAATGTCTCTTCAATGACATCAGTAAGGCTTAAGTACCTATTGTTGGTCAAGGTAATGTCTCTTCAATGACATCAGTGGAGCCAAAGTACTAATTATTGGTCAAGGTAATGTCTCTTCAATGACATCAGTAAAGCCAAAGTATTAGTTGTTGGTTAAGGTAATGTCTTTTCAATTGGTAATGTCTCTTCAATGACACCAGTAAAGCCAAAGTACTAATTGTTGGTCAGGGTAATGTTTCTTCAATGACATCAGTAAAGCCAAAGTACTAATTATTGGTCAAGGTAATGTCTCTTCAATGACATCAGTAAAGCCAAAGTACTAATTGTTTGTTAAGGTAATGTCTCTTCAATGGGTAATGTCTCTTCAATGACATCAGTAAAGCCAAAGTACTAATTGTTTGCCAAGGTAATGTCTCTTCAACAACATCAGTAAAGCGAAAGTACTGATTGTTGGTCAAGGTAATATCTCTACAATGAAATCATTTAGCCAAAGTACTGATTGTAATATATATATGAACTACAAGTTATATTTTCTTAGAAATTAGTAAAGTCATTGTATGGTCAACTTCAACATCAAACAAAATAAATACTGTTGAACGATACATCAATTTAGAAGGGAAAAAATAGATAATAATATTTAGATCTGTTTTCATATACATGATGAATGTACTATGTTTGTTGAAATTACATACTTTTTGATGTAACAATTGTCTTGCTAGTATATATCTATCTTTTGTCTAGATATTAAACTCTTGTAATTTTTTGAATTGATAATGATATATTTATGAGCAATATATAGTTTTCAAATGAAATAATTTGAGTTATCTACCTTTGCTCCCATGTTGAAAGGCAACATACATTTATATATACAAATTCCTTCATATATCAACCAAGTTCAAATTGTTAAACAGACCAATAGAAAAAAGAAAAGTTATTTTCAGAACATTATTATCATTTAGTCTTGTATAGTTCATCACTACAAATTAAGAAGGATCTTTTATCAGACTTGCTTGTGCTACATGTTTGAATGTGGTTAGTCTTATATATAAAAATCAAAATGGTTGCTCTCCAACAAAGCAGCCAAGGAAAATAAGTCCTTTTCAAAGTACATCAATGAAAAATTATCTTTTTAGAAGTACTATTTGGGTGGTTCAGATCTTTTTCTGCAACGTTATTTGGAAATAGTTCAAGGAGTACAGAAATTTAACCATATTTTTTACAATTATGTAAAAATACAAATACTTTTCTCCTCAGGAAGTGAGCTGTTTCATAATGTTGACGATATAAAACAGGAACTGCCCATCCCTGTCTATCTGATGGGAACAGGAATAGGAGAAGCACCAACAGGGTACCAGTCATGGGATCAGTTGATGTTATCTGCTCCCCATGCAGAAATTAGCCGTACCACGAGAACAGGGATGAATCCATTGACTCCCTGCTGTTACATCTACACCTCAGGAACAACAGGTAGGTTTAAACAGACTTCAACAACAACAGTATAAGTAGAACTATTTTGGGAAATTTTGTACCAGAATGCTTCAGGCAATGAAATTACACACCAGCTGGTTATTGCATTAAAATGATCTTAGATCAAAGTTTTACAAGGAATGTCTGTGATTATTGGGGTTTCATTTGGAATGTTAGTAGACTTTTCATTGTGAAAAATCTCTTGGTATATAATAATCAATAAGTTATAATTGACATGGTCAAAAGATTTATTGATTGATTAATGAAGTCTTAATGTCAAGCAACAAATACCAAATCAAATCAAATAATTTTATTGGTGTAAATTCCAATACAGGAATGATACCAGCTGACATTTACAAAATACAAATACAAAAACAGACAAAAATAAACAAAAAACAAATATACAGAGATATATTTTCTCAATGATAAGAGACACATATTTTATATCTACATTGCGTGGAGGTGTTATTCATACTATATTATCACTTCAAGCTATTACAATAAGCTTTAATACTACAACAGTTCTTAACAACATTATATTTGCTTTAAATGAATGTTCGAATCATACATTTTGCTTATTCCAGCTACACATACAGTACAAATGTCAGTATCATTACTTTTCAAAATGAAACTAAATTTATCTTTTTCAGGCATATTAGCAAAAGATAGAACTATATCACTTAAATTACAAAAGAGTATATGTCTATTAAATTCTAACCCTTTACATTTAATGAGGAAATGGAATTCATCTTCAATTCCATCCTTGCAAAGTGGACAAATTCTCTGTTCTAAAGGCGTTCTAGTATATCTACCAACTTCTATTAGTAATTTGCTATTACTAATTCTAATATTTATACGCCCGTTTACAGGACGTATTATGGTATACCGTTTTCCGTCCGTCCGTCTGTCCGTCGTCTACATGTCGGACATTAACTCAAAAATGCTTTAACCATTTTGCATAAAACTTTGGTGAATTGTTTATATCTATTGACGTGAGCTCCCTTTTGTTTTTTATAAAATTTAGATTTTACGTTTTCGAGTTATGGGGTTTTATTCATTAAAAAAAGGGGGATTTTTCAGTTTTCGGACATAAGTCAAGAATGCTTTCACCAACTTGCAAGAAATTGTGGTGAATTGTTTATATCTATTGACATGAGCTCCCTTTTGATTTTTATAAATTTTAGATGAAACGTTTCCGAGTTACAGGGTTTCATTCATAAAAAAGAGGGGATTTTCCCGTTTTCGGACAAAAACTCAAAAATGCTTTCAGCAATTCTTATGAAACTTTGGTGAATTGTTTGTATGTATTGATGTAAGCCCCTTTTAAATTTTATAAATTTTACATTTTAAATTTCTGAGTTATGGGGTTTTATTCATTAAAAAAAGGGGTGATTTTCCAGTTTTCGGACAATAACTCAAAAATGCTGTCACCAATTCTCATGAAACTTTGGTGAATTGTTTATATCTATTGATGTAAGCTCCCTTTTTATTTTCATAAATTTCTATTATGACATTGAGAATTAATTGAACCTTATTTGTTTATAGTCTGACAACAGATTTACTAAGTATTGCACAACAGCAAGAAATCTTTATTAATTGAATATAAATTCAATTCATATAACCAATTTCAAGTTCTTTGACTACATTTATTCAGAAACCTATAATATGTCAAATATTTAATTACAATCCAAATTCAGACCTGAATCAAGCTTGAATATTGTGTTCATTTTTTGCCCCAACTGTTCAGGGTTGGACCTCTGCAGGCGTATCTAGCTGCGCTCAGCGAAGCAGTTTATTACATTTTAGAAATAACATTTTTGTTAAGGTCCAGTAGGAGATATTTTTCTAATTCGTAATTATTTTTAACTATGCGATACGTTCTTAGTTTATTACGATGACTATCTTTATAAGAGTCACAAAAAAGAGCTTGTTTCAAGGATTTTATGAATTCCTCCTCTAATTTCTTTTGAACTGAAAAAGGTAATTTTGTCTTTGACATAGTATTTTGATTTTCCCAAACATGCTGAAAACCAAGTTTACCCAATAACACTTTTATTTTACTACAAAAACCATTAGACATGTTAAAGTTTTCACTGTATGCTTTCTTTACCATACTCTCGCTATTCATATTAATGATATGAATCCAGAAATTAGTTGTATTTTTAAGGGCTGACAATGAAAGTGGGAATAAACCTAATTCATCAAGTACAGCATTATTCACAGCACCTTTATTTACACCCAATAAAAATTTAGCAAATTTGATTTGAATCTTATTTGGACTAAAGTTTGCATAGTTTGACTTGATGGTAGTATTTTGTTTCACTAAACTAACAGTAGCCAAAACTTTACTGCTATATAATAAAATAGTTTTAAAACATGAATCAAAAAGCTTTAAATGTGGTAGTAAATTCATCTTTTCAGAATATAATAATTTTCTAATACAAAAATAGCTTTGCTAGCCTTTTTAGATAACTGATCAATTGCTGTAGTTAAAGATCCAGATGGTTTAAAAATTATACCTAGATACTTGTATTCATCAGTCAGCTCTGGTAGTTTTCCATTACAGTAGAAATTGTTTTTTTTAATAATTTTTCCTGTTTTATTGAATATTATAATCTTTGTTTTATTAAGATTAACAGATAGATTCCATTTATCACAAAACATATTTAATTTATCTAAAGCATTTTTCAGGCCAGATACAGATTCTGATATTACTACTAAATCATCTGCATAAAGAAGACAAGACACTTGTTTATCATCTAGGCATGCTGGATCACATTTGTGGTCAAACGTTTCAACCAATTCATTTATATACAATGAAAATAATGTAGTGCTTAATATACAACCCTGTTTTAATCCTACACATGAGGGAAATGTTTGTGTTAGTCCCTCTTTTAATTTTACAGAGAAAGAGACATCTTTGTACATATCTTTTAAAATATCAAAAAAGACCCTTTTATATTATATTTTAATAACTTATGAAAAAGGCCATCTCTATTGATTGTGTCAAACGCTTTTCTTAGATCTACAAAGCAAGTGTATAGATGTTTAGATTTTTTAAAGGTCTTGTCAATCAGAGTTTTTAATGTTAAAATGTAATCACTTGTTCTGCTATTTTTCCTAAAGCCTATTTGCTCCTTGTGTAATATACTGTTAGTTTCAAGGAAGTTCTCTAACCTGGTAGATAATATCTTTAGGAAAAATTTACCTAAACAGCTAGAAAGAGCTATACTCCTGTAGTTGGAAGGATCATTAAAACACCCTCCTTTAAATATAGGCTTAATGATGTTTTCTCTCCATATAGAAGGAAAGATTCCACTTTTAAATATCAAATTAATAATCAACAAATATGTTTTAACTTAAATTTACCACATGACACTCTAATCATTTCGTTTGTTATACCATCACAACCAGCAGATTTTTTTAACTTTAAGTCTTTTACAACCTTTAACACCTCCTCCGCAGTAATACTATCATTTAAACAATCATTATTACAATCAATACTACTAATGTTTTCATCAAAATTATTACAATGTTGAAAATTCATTAAATTTCTAAAGTACTTCAACCATTCATCATGTGAAATATTGGAGCTAGGGTCTTCTTTCGCTTTGTCCTTTAATAAATTTACAGATTTCCAAAATTCCGAAGTATTTTTCTCGGATAGGTCAAGTATGTTTTTTAGTATTTTATTTTTATAGACCCTATGATTTTTTACGTACAAGCTTGTTGAAGTTTTTTTTCTCTCTGTAAAAATTTTTAGTCTCAAACTAGAATCCCAAGGATTCCTACCTAAAGTTCTACAGAGAGCTTTTATATGCCTATATTTAACATCACAGTCTTTGTCAACTCATGGTTTTTTAATTTTCCTTCTTTTTTGTTTATTATGCAGTTTTGATTCAAATCTGTTATCTAGTATTGCTGCTCCCTTTAGTAATTTATTAAAATCAGAAACCACGTCATCCACGTCTGATATGCTGTTAATAGCTTTTCGGTATTTGTACAAATATTATTAAAACTATCATAATTTAAGTTTTCAATAAATTTTTGCTCTTGAATTGGAGACCATCTTATGACTGGTGGCAATTTCCGAAGATTACATTTGTCCTGTTTAGGACCCATTATATTACTACAAAAAATGTTTACGGTTATTTGACAATGATTTGAATTATTTGGATGAAAGTCTTCAATTCTAAAGTTCATTATATTTGATACGAATATTGAACTACAGATACAATAAACATCTATTGAGGTTCCATTGTAACTATGATAAGTTACTTTCCCTATAGAGTTTCCTAAAGTACGTCCATTTAAAATACGTAATTGGGAGCTGGTACACATTTCTATGATACCTTTTCCATAGCTATTTCTACGTTGTGGAATTTGAGTATTTCGTTTAATTTGTACATTATCCGCAATGTAGTATGTGGAAAAAAATCTTCCAAAGGGTCATTTAGTTCATCGCATATAAAATCTATTTCTTTTGATTGAATATGAGCTTTCAGATCTCCCATTATCATGACTTCACCTACTGAGTTAAAATTAGAAATATCAGTCTCAAGTTTTTCAAATATTTCTTTATCCATACCAGTTCTTAATGTATATGATGAATTAGAGGGTGATATGTACACAAAGCAAATATAAAGATTACGTTTAAGACCAAAGTAGGTGTGGCCTATTTTAAACCATAGCATGTCATTCAGAGATTTATCAACTAATTTCACACCACCTATTATTGTTCTCTTTACCAATACAGCTAAACCCCCTGTTTTTCTACTACTTTCAGTAGATCTACAATTAACAAAACATTTATATCCTTCAAGGTATAAAACATCATTAGAAAAAGAATGAGTTTCTGATAGAAATACAATATCTGACTTAATATTTTCTCTGAAATTTTGGTCATTTAACTTACTCATTTTATAACCATTAATATTTTTATACCACCACATGGTTCAGAACAAGTACATGTAATGTGGTATGAAACTTTAAACAGTAGAAAAGTAGATAACAACAATGAAAACTGATTTCATTATTTTGGGGAAGGGTACCAATTTTATGGTTTGAGGAAAAATTGTTTTTTTCATGGATATTTTATTTCATGGATTTGCCATAGTCTATAGAAAGCTTGTACTTTGTTGGACATATAAATTCATGGTTAATATATAACCACGACATTTCACGAAATTTGGTATCCCTACCAATAAATTAAACTGAATTCACAGATGTACAAATATACATATATATGGTATTAAGGTTTGTATTTGAGACTGATTTCTGAGTTAGATTATTAGGCTATAGCCTCAAAAATATAAATCAACAGAAAAAAAACCATTATCCTTCTTGAAAGCGTTATTCTGATAATAACTAAATGGGATAAGAGGATAATATAGGGATATACTGGCACACCATTGAGTCAACAACTCCACAACATAATAAATGGGATAAGAGGATAATGTAGGGATATACTGGTACACCATTGAGTCAACAACTTTACAACACAATAATGGGATAAGAGGATAATGTAGAGATATACTGGCACACCATTGAGTCAACAACTCCACAACATAATAAATGGGATAAGAGGATAATGTAGGGATATACTGGTACACCATTGAGTCAACAACTTTACAACACAATAATGGGATAAGAGGATAATGTAGAGATATACTGGCACACCATTGAGTCAACAACTTCACAACACAATAAATGGGATAAGAGGATAATGTAGAGATATACTGGCACACCATTGAGTCAACAACTTCACAACATAATAAATGGGATAAGAGGATAATGTAGGGATATACTGGTACACCATTGAGTCAACAACTTTACAACACAATAATGGGATAAGAGGATAATGTAGGGATATACTGGTACACCATTGAGTCAACAACTTCACAACACAATATAAATGGGATAAGAGGATAATGTAGGGATATACTGGTACACCATTGAGTCAACAACTTTACAACATAATAAATGGGATAAGAGGATAATGTAGGGATATACTGGTACACCATTGAGTCAACAACTTTACAACACAATAAATGATAAAGAGGATAATGTAGGGATATACTGGTACACCATTGAGTCAACAAATTCACAACATAATAAATGGGATATGAGGATAATGTAGGGATATACTGGTGCACCATTGAGTCAACAACTTCACAACACAATAAATGGGATAAGAGGATAATGTAGGGATATACTGGTGCACCATTGAGTCAACAACTTTACAACACAATAAATGGGATAAGAGGATAATGTAGGGATATACTGGTACACCATTGAGTCAACAACTTCACAACACAATAAAAAACACAACAACATAAAAGCAAATCTATTGGTAAACATATAACTCTGACAATTAACTTCAATTGATTTTTGTTCTCGAATTGAAAAAAAATATAATGTACCTATGTTTGTCTTCTAGGTCTACCCAAGCCAGCTATTATAAACCAAACCAAAGCTTTAGGAATGAGCAAGTTTTTATACCTTGGTGGACTGGAACATGACGATATAGTGTATACTGTAACCCCTCTCTACCACAGTGTTGCTATTATGGCCTTGTTTTCAACTATAGATTGTGGTAGGTATCACACTGTCACCACACTCATCCTGAGTGATATTTGACATTATAGATATCACTATTGTCTGATGTAATATATATTCCCTGTAGTCTGATGATATCAGCTGACGTTTGATATTGTGCACTGCTTTCTGATGATACCAGCTGACTTTTGATGTTATTCACTGTTGTCTGATGATATCAGCTGATGTCTGATGTTATTTAATGTTGTTTGATGATATCAGCTGATGTCTGATGTTTTATTCGCTGTTTTCTGATGATACCAGCTGACGTTTGATGTTATTCACTGTTGTCTGATGATATCAGCTGATGTTTGGTGTTATTTACTGTTGTCTGATGTTTGATGTTTTATTTGCTGACGTCTGATGATTTCAACTGACATTTGATGTTATTTACTGTTTTCTGATGAAATTAGCTGACCTTTGATGTTATTTACTGTCATCTGAAGATATCAGCTGATGTCTGATGTTATTTACTGTTGTCTGATGATATCAGCTGATGTTGATGTTATTCACTGTTTTCTGAAGATATCAGCTGATGTTTGATGTTAATCACTGTTTTCTGAAGATATCAGCTGATGTTTGATGTTAATCACTGTTTTGTGATGATATCAGCTGATGTTGATGTTATTCACTGTTTTCTGATGGTACTAAGGTATTGTTGATGTTATTTCTAAATGGTGTTATTGATTGTAGTTTTTTGAGATCAGCCAATGTAAAGATGATATTCGTTGTTATTGTCTGTTGTTCAATGAGATCAGCCAATCATGAATGTAAAGGTGATATAGGCCAGCGGCCGAAGTGAATATCAGTTTTTCAAAAGTCAATTAAACCACATATTTACCGAAACAAAAGACAGTAATTGTTTTATTCCATATTCCGAGAGAGTACCAATAGAAATGTATATAATGACAATTTTTACAAAAACCAATTGTACATCAAAAGATTTTAACATACCGGTAACGTAAAAGCACACGACGTTTTGCGCGGTGAATATACTTTTTCCGCAGGTGAATATGCTTATTTATTCAAAATCTAATTCATATAGAAAAATCTACTAAGGTTCTATCAATATGGAATAATTGGTGTTATTGACTGGTTCAATGTGATAATTTGATGTTTATCTGATTTAGCTTTAAGTTACTGCCATGACTTTTGTTTGATGAAATCACCAGGTATTTTGTGTCATTGACTGTGGTCTAATGTGATAAGTGGATGTACAAAATGTTTACCTGATTTAGCCATGACTTTTGTTTGATGAAATCACCAGGTATTTGGTGTCATTGACTGTTTTCAATAAAATCACCAGATGTGTGGTGACATTGACTGTTTCAAATGAGATCAGCAATGATTTTACTTCTATCATTTCTCTTTAGGTAATACAATTTTACTACGAACAAAGTTTTCTGCTCATCATTATTTTGAGGACTGCAGAAGACACAATGTCACAGTCATTCAATATATTGGAGAACTCTGTCGATATCTACTAGCTGTACCTGAGGTATGTTACATTGGAACTCTGTAGATATCTACTAGCTGTACCTGAGGTATGTTACATTGGAACTCTGTAGATATCTACTAACTGTACCTGAGGTATGTTACATTGGTAACTCTACAGATATCTACTAGCTGTACCTGAGGTATGTTACATTGGTAACTCTACAGATATCTACTAGCTGTAACTGATGTATGTTACATTGGAACTCTGTAAATATCTACTAGCTGTAACTGAGGTATGTAACATTGGAACACTATAGATATCTATTAGCTGTACCTGAGGTAAGTTACATTGGACCACTGTAGATATCTGCTAACTGTATATGAAGTGTATGTTACATTGGAACTCTGTCGATATCTACTAGCTGTACCTCAAATATGTTACATTGGAACTCTGTAGATATCTAATAGCTGTACCTGAGGTATATTACATTGGAACTCTGTAGATATCTACTAGCTGTACCTGAGGTATGTTACATTGGAACTCTAGAGATCTACTAGCTGTACCTGAGGTATGTTACATTGGAACTCTGTAGAGATCTACTAGCTGTACCTGAGGTATGTTACATTGGTAACTCTACAGATATCTACAAGCTGTAACTGAGGTATGTTACATTGGAACTCTGTGGATATCCACTAGCTGTACCTGTGGTATGTTTCATTGGTAACTCTACAGATATCTACTAGCTGTAACTGAGGTATGTTACATTGGAACTCTGTGGATATCCACTAGCTGTACCTGAGGTATGTTACATTGAAACTCTGTGGATATCCACTAGCTGTACCTGAGGTATGTAACATTGGAACTCTGTAGATATCTACTAGCTGTACCTGAGGTATGTTACATTGGAACTCTGAAGATATCTACTAGCTGTACCTGAGGTATATTACATTGGAACTCTGTAGATATCTACTAGCTGTACCTCAGGTATGTTACATTGGAACTCTAGAGATCTACTAGCTGTACCTGAGGTATGTTACATTGGAACTCTGTAGAGATCTACTAGCTGTACCTGAGGTATGTTACATTGGTAACTCTACAGATATCTACTAGCTGTAACTGAGGTATGTTGCATTGGAACTTTGTGGATATCCACTAGCTGTACCTGAGGTATGTTTCATTGGTAACTCTACAGATATCTACAAGCTGTAACTGAGGTATGTTACATTGGAACTCTGTGGATATCCACTAGCTGTACCTGAGGTATGTTACATTGGAACTCTGTGGATATCCACTAGCTGTACCTGAGGTATGTTACATTGGAACTCTAGAAATCTATTAGCTGTACCTGAGGTAAGTTACATTGGAACTCTGTAGATATCTGCTAGTTATACCTGAGGTATGCTACATTGGAACACTGTAGATATCTATTAGCTGTCCCTGAGGTAAGTTACATTGGAACTCTGTAGATATCTACTAGTTATACCTGAGGTATGCTACATTGGAACACTGTAGATATCTATTAGTTGTACCTGAGGTATGTTACATTGGAACTCTGTAGATATCTACTAGCTGTACCTGAGGTATGTTACAATCAAACTCTGTAGATATCTACTAGCTGTATCTTAGGTATGTTACAATGATACAGTCAATTTGAAAACTCTGAAGATATCTTCTAGCTGTACCTGAGGAATGCTACATTGGAACTCTATATATCTATTAGCTGTACCTGAGGTATGCTACATTGGAACTCTAGATATCTTCTAGCTGTACCTGAGGTATGTTACAATGATACAGTCAATTAGAGAACTCTGCATGTGTCTGTAAATATAAACTGGCTGTACCTGATGTATGTTATAATGAAACACTATTGGAAAACTCTAGATCTATTAGATGTACCACAGGTATACAGTATACAGAAGACCTCTGTAAATATTTGCTACCTGTTCTTGCTGAGATGAAACGATATTTGGCAGGTTATTTTTTTTTTAATTTTATGTGGCCAATGCATAGCAGGAACCTTCAAATGTTCAGAGGAGGCTTTAAGCTGAGATGTGTCAATGATATGATTGTTAACTTTTTTACTCTCTATGGTGTGCACAGACCTGAATATAGAAGAATTTAAAAGTTTAAGAAAAGACCTCTGTAAATATTTGCTACCTGTTCTTGCTGAGATGAAACGATATTTGGCAGGTTATTTTTTTTTAATTTTATGTGGCCAATGCATAGCAGGAACCTTCAAATGTTCAGAGGAGGCTTTAAGCTGAGATGTGTCAATGATATGATTGTTAACTTTTTTACTCTCTATGGTGTGCACAGACCTGAATATAGAAGAATTTATAAGTTTAAGAAAATTGTCGTGTCAAGGGATTCAATATAAATCTTGCAATATTTTGGTTACAGAACATTTTTTATAAGCCTGTTTACGGGACTTAATGTGGTATACCGTTGTCCTTCCGTCTGTCGTCCATCGTCAACATGTCGGACAATAACTCAAAAACGCTTTAACCAATTTGCATGAAACTTTGGTGAAAAGTTTATATCTATTGACGTGAGCTCCCTTTCAATTTTTATAAATTTTAGATTTTACATTTCTGAGTTATTGGGTTTTATTCATTAAAAAAGGGGGATTTTCCAGTTTTTGGACAATAACTCAAAAATGCTATGAGTAGTTTTCGTGAAACTCTGGTGAATTGTTTATATCTATTGGCGTAAGCTCCCCTTCGATTTTTATAAATTTTAAATTTTACGTTTCTGAGTTATGGGATTTTATTCATTAAAAAGGGAGGATTTTCCAGTTTTCAGACAGTAACTCAGAAGCGCTTTGAGCATTTTTCATGAAACTTTGGTGACTGTTTTATATCTATTAAAATAACCTCCCTTTAGTTTTTTATTAATTTCTGATATGACATTGAGGAGTTATGGAACTTTATTCTTTGAAAAAGCGACGGGCGTGTCATGCACTCATGGCGCAGCTCTTGGTTATGGTTGGTTGCTACCTAAGGTTTTCATTTAGCCTATAGGTCCGAAAAATGCATAAAATCAACATTGTTTTCAAACATTTCCAAGATGTACTGACTTTGGAGCTTATCTTATGAAGAAGTTAATTTAAAACAATATTTTAGAAAACTGACTAAAATATTTACTCTTTTAGATGGATTAAAGATTGTTTTAATTATAGTTTCAACAATTAACAAGATAGAAAATGTTCCCAACCTAAAGGCATATTTTATGTCTGTTCAGGAAAATTACAATATTTAACGTTTTCTATTTTCAGCATCCAAAAGATAAAGAACATAAGATAAAGGTAGCTGTAGGTAATGGACTTAGGAAAGACATTTGGGAGAAGTTTCGGGATAGATTTAATATACCAAAAATTGTAGAATTTTTTGGTGCCTCAGAAGGAACATCTGCCACATTTAATGTTAACGGCAGGGTTGGTGCTTGTGGAAGACTTTCTCCACTTCTTGTAAGTATTTCTCATGCAGCTTTTCATGACCCCAATAGGATAACAGGATAATGATTTTCTCTGACCATCTGTCATTCCATCCGCTATAGGGACCATTATTTGTCCACTGACCCCAATAAGATAACAGGATAATGATTTTCTCTGTCCATCTGTCATTCCATCTGCTATAGGGACCATTATTTGTCCACTGACCCTAATAGGATAACAGGATAATGATTATCTCTCCATCTGTCATTCCATCCACTATAGGGACCATTGTTTGTCCACTGACCCCAATAGGATAACAGGATCATGATTATCTCTGTCCATCTTCATTCCATCCACTATAGGGACCATTGTTTGTCCACTGAACATGGTGAACATACAATTTTTATGCCCCACCTATGATAGTAGTTGGGGCATTATGTTTTCTGGTCTGTGCGTCCGTTCATTCGTCCGTTCATCCGTCCGTCCGTCCGTCTGTCCCACTTCAGGTTAAAGTTTTTGCTTCAAGCTGTCAATTCCCTATTTGGTTGGCCAGACTTCCAAGCCTCTCACGTCAATCATTTTGTGTTATCGTTGGAAAATACCTCAAAATTTAATAATGAATTGATGAGAAGGAGATAAACAAATGAACAGATTGACTTTAAACACTTTTTTACACATTTTCCTTCTGTTTCTCGTAAAATGATCGTATCTTGAGCTCTCCCTTACACTATTTACGTTTCTTTTTCAATCCGGAAAAATCAGTATTACGAAATATTCTAGATATATCCAACCTAGTGACGTCATGGTTGGAATTCCACACTTCGTAGAAGCAGGGATATCCTTTACTCATTATTAAAATCATTCACAGAAATCATGTTATTTCGTACCCTTACCACTTCGTACCTCATTGAATATTTATATGTATGCAATTTCGTTCCTTGTGTAATATTTATATTTTTTAAATGATATTAGCAAATCAGTCCTAATACAAATAAATCAGCATGTGTAATACTGTTGACGTCTTCCTGTTGACATAAATCATGAGTAAATATTGCTTTTCTGCCTAGTCCAATACAGGAAAAAGTCCAAAAGCAATACAGGATTTTCACTTCTGGTGGCAGATTTTTGCTTCCAAATTATGTTGGACGCATCTTAACCTGGAATAGACGTATTTAAAAGAAATTGGAAGACACATTTTTCAATTCTGAATAACAAGAAAATTTTATTATGATCCGTTTTTAATTACGATTTGCGGAAACATTCCACAACCTTTCCAAGTAGAATTTTCAATTTATTATCATTGACATTGTTTCATTTTCGTCAAAAAAACATAATGTCTGAATATTCTTCCCAAGTACTTTATGTTTGCTAGATAAATATTGCATTAGCATAGATTAAGTACCTGGACTGGAAATCAGAAATCTCAACAATAAAATTGACAAAACAAATTGTCATGACTGGGAAGAACAAGTTCAAATGTGATTTCCTGTACCTACAATTTTTTTAACAGTAAGTTTCTTTTTTTTTCAATCAAAGAATTTGTATTATATGATAAAAGTCTTATGAGCTAGGTGTTTCTGTATTGGCCCTTTTATAGATTCATGATCATATTTATTGGCCCTCATCTCTTCAAGTTTCTGCTCAGGGCCAATAAGCTAATATAACCATGAGAACATTGAACCTATAAGTTATAATGGGGTCAATACAGAAACAGGCAGTATTAAAGTCTGGAGAAATTTGTAGGGAGGAGTGTTGAAATATTCATGTCTTTTGGAAAGGGGTCTTAAATTTATTTTCCTTCAAGCCAATCAAGGTGGGACTTGGAAAAAAGTAAGAGAAATTCCAATTTTTCCATCCTGGCAGGTCCCCCAATGAAATAAAATGATCAGTCAATGAAAGATATAGGGATTACAATCCAGTGGCAGCGATGGCATAAACTATTTGTATAAACATGATAAAGCTTTATATTTTATACCTATATGCAAATGCTTTGTGTTACAAAGTTTCCTGTCTGTCATATGTCTATTGCCATTTTCATTGTGAATATTTTCAGTCCCCTATCAATGAAGTTTAGGTTTGCACTCTCCGTCTGTCTGTCCATCTGTCAGTCCTGCAAATCAGTTTTCCACATTTTTGTGCCCCCCGCCGTAGCGGAGGGGGCATTAAGTTTTACCTTTGTACATCTGTGTGTCCGTTTGTCCCAAAATTGGTTTCTCTAACTTTAGTTTGCCTCAACCAAATGTAATGAAACTTATACACAATGCTTATTACAACAAAATACAGATCGATTGAATTTGGGTGGCGTCACTTTTCCCTTTTTAGAGTTATGCCCTTTACAAATTGAAAAAATTGCTGCGTTCTCTAACTTTAGTTTGCCTAAACCAAATGTTATGAATTTTATACACAATGCTTATTACTACAAAACTGAGAACAAGATTGGATTTGGGTGGCGTCACTTTACAAATGGAAAAATGGCTGAACTTTTTGTTTTCGTTCTCTATTTTAAGTTTGCCTTAGAACTCTGACACAGATCAAATGCGAATTTGGGTAGTGTCACTTTTTCTGTTCTTGAGTTATGTCCCTTTATAATGTTATATGCAAGCAGGGGCATCATCTGTGTACCATGGACACATTCCCCATTTATTTTTCTTCATGTTTGAAGATATTGGTTTGTTATTTGGTATATAGTTTTATCACGACCATGCAGTCACAGATCAAATTTGAATTTTGTTCGGTTAGGTTGAATTTTTTGCAGCATTTGGGTCCTCGGACTTGGAAAATTCATGCAAATAATCAGTTTTCCTCAAATGTGAATTTGGGTAGCGTCACTTTTACTGTTCTTGAGTTATGTCCCTTTATAATGTTATATGCAAGCAGGGGCATCATCTGTGTACCATGGACACATTCCCCATTTATTTTTGTTATGCTTGAATAAATTGATTTGATAATTGGTATATAGTTTTACCATGACAAGTTACAGATCAAGTTTTAATTTTGTTTGGTTTGGAGGATTATTTTGCTTATGTTCCTCAGACTTAGAAAATTCACCCATATAATCAGTTTCCAACACTTTATTCATCGTGCTTGAATATATTGATTTGATATTCATTATACACAGTTAAATGCTACGAAAAGTTATAGAACAAGTTAGTTGTTCCAGTTCAATGAACTTTTAACCAATAGGGGACCATAAAAATAAGGAGATGTGATATGTATTGCCATGCAATACTCTCAGAATGTTTAGTTGTTTTGTCGCTGTGAAATACTCCCTTATTATGAGTTATAGGGTAACTATATTTGGTACATTGGATGCTTGCAAGGTTTTTTGTTAAGTTTTCGTTGTCAAGTCCGTATCTCAGATACTATATGCAATAGGTCAACTATATTTGGTGTGTGGAATGACTGAAAAGTGTACATGTTCGACTGGCAGATTTCACCTGAACTTGACCTCATTTTCATTGTTCATTTGTCAATTATAAGTGTTTTTGTAGTTTGGTCTGTTTTTCAGATACTGTAAACAAAAGATTAGCTGTATTTGGTTTATGGAATGAATGATGAATGTAAGGTGTATATTGCCGTCTTACCGGTTGCATCTGACCTTGACCTTTTTGGGGATTCATTGGATAATGTTTTAAATATTTCCTGTTTGGGCTTTATCTATGATACTATAAGCCATAGGGGCATTATATTCATGATAATTGGTATATGTCATGGAATGGTTGTTAATAGGTAGACATGTCTGTCTGGCAAGTTTTCATGGTTTTGTCCATTCATCAAATACTGTAAACTATATTAGTTGTAAGGAATGATTGCAGGATGAACATGTCTGTCTTGTAGGGTTCTTCAGAACTTGACCTCTTTTTCATGGTTCATTAATTTAGTCAATGTTCAATTTTTGCAATCAGGTCTGTTTCTCTGCTCCTTTGTCTTTTAGTATCTTAGTATATGCAAAAGGCCAACTTTATTTGGTGTACAATGTACGGTATGCAATTTAATTTAATCAAGTAAAGCAGGCGAGACATACCAGCATGTGCACTCTTGTTGTCATTTAAGTTGCATTTTATTAAGTTATTTGTGAGTATAAATAAAGTTGCCTTCACAGAGGCTTTTAATAATCTGACCTCGTCCACCATAATGAAATTCAAAATATTTCTCAGTGGCTAGCTTAACTTTACTAATGCATTTGTCTCTCTCGAAATATTGAGATATTTGATCTATAAACAAGACCCTTTAATTAAATTTACTACTTCACTGTTTTATTACATGCACATTTTATGTTCTTTAATGTTTTGTCATATAGAAGTTTTAAAAACCTATTTGAATTATGTTACCCAATGTGCAATTGATTATATTATATATGTGCATAGTTGACATTTGACAACTTGTTTCCCATCCCCCGTAGGGGGCTATTTCTTTCAGTTCTATGCATGCAAACAGTCTTTGTTTGTTTTAGTCTCCTTAAAGCAGACTGTATCTAGGAAATACATTATTGCCTCTCAGTGGAGAATATTTTGAGGTTTTGTTTCTTTCACATGATTTATTAAACCATATAACTGATTTGTTAACTTTATAAATACTTTTTGAACTTTAGTATTTCTTTTGAATTCAAAGATATAGGGCATTGTAAAGATTATTAGATAAAGCTAAAATTAACAGTACAAGTGCTTTATTTCCAACCTGAATATACATTTCCAATGCTGTTTTCTGTGACCTAATAGAGAGTATTTATAAATTAAAACTATTCATATATATATACTGATATACTAAATGTTTTCATTCAACATATCTATATATAAATGATGCATTTGTTATCTGCAGTAAAAAGTCAAGTCACTTCAACTGTTATATCTAAAAGCTGTCATAGTTAGTGAGTTTAAATCATTAATGTACCTTTGGTATCTTTGGCCTCTCTTTAAGACAATTATTGAATCAAACCTTGTTGTTTAGACATTATTTTAACTGCTTGAGCTTCCAATTTCCATGTTGTGAAATACTCACCAATTTATATAGCCAGTACTGAGTATTAATTTTTACATGAAAAAAATATATACTACCAAATATCATGAATATGTGAACTCGTCTTGCCCAGCATAATAATCAACTTTCAACTTTAATCAAATGTTTTGATTTAGAAGGTGCCAATCTCTTCCATTGGTCAAAATTGACTCCATGATGAATTCTTGACTAAGGAAATGAAATTACATTAAACAATAATTAATTTCAATATTGTCAACCTTTCTACATGTTCTAGCTGTTCTTTTGCTCATTCTTTGTATGAAGATTATCAAAAGATACCCCAAAAAAATAGAAACAATGGCTGTCTTTTCCCTCAGAGCTCTCACGATCTTTGGTTTTACAGTTAACACTCATGCTCAGTTTGAGGTTAAAGTTTTTCAGTCATCAATAACTTTGTCAAACCTTCATGGAATTTTATGAAATTTGGACAGAAGCTTGTTAATGACCAAAATACAGTATCCAGAGCAAAATTTTGAAAATGTTTATTTTCATTTTTCTGTGTTTTACTAATAAATTGACTTAGTTTATTTTACATTTAACAAGAAGATACAGTCTGGGGTTAAAGTTTGTTACACATCAATTACTTTGTCAAAGCTTCATAGAATTTTATGAAACTTTGGCAGAAGCTTTTTTATGATTAAGATAGTGTCTGAAGCAAACTTTTGAAAATATATTTTTTTTTATTTTCAGTATTTTTTTGATCGATCATCTCATAGATGGACTTAGTTGACCTAGGGATTAAATTTATTTTACAAGATAAGTTTGTAAACCTTCATGGATTGTTATGAAACTTGGACAGAAGCTAATCTTCAAGACCTAGAAATTGCATCTAAAGAAAAACTTTGAATTTTTTTTAAATTCTGTATTCTACTGATAAATGGACTCACTTTTTAAGTCAGCATTACACTTTTACACTGACCGTAATATCGCTGGCAAGACATAGTGTTCTTCAGAACCCCTTAGCATTTATTTGAAGAAAACTTTTATTAATGTTATCTTTTGCCCTTTAAATCACAGAGATTACAATTATATTTGAAAGATCTAACAGTTAAACATTATGCATTAACCTTAAATTATTTTATGCAAAAAAAAACATATTATTTTTGTAAAAAATATTTTCATAACCAAATATGAAATAAAGGATTTCTTTTCTCTTATAGTTTAGTAAACCAGTTTTTTGTCTCGCCTTGACGGAGTAAAAAGGCGAGACATAGGTATGCTGTTTCCGGCGTCGGTGTCGGCGACGGCGACAGCGTCAACAATGTATTAGTTTGTGATTAGGTCTAGTTCATAGTGAACCACTAGTGGTAGGTCAATGATATTTGGTATGCAGTTGTATTAGCATTGGTACATCTTATTACCATGGAGATTATTTGGCCTGCCCCCTCAGTCAAGGTCTATTGACTTTGAAACTTTTCATAGTTTACATGTATTAGTTTGTGATTAGGTCAATTTATGGGGAACCACTAGTGGTAGTTCAATGATATTTGGTATGCAGTTGTATAAGTATTGGCATATTTCATTTCCATGGAGATTATTTGGCTCTGCCCCCTTAGTCATGGTCTATAGACTTTGAAAATTTTGCTAGGTTTACATGTATTAGTTTGTAATTAGGTCAGTTCAAGGAAATTAGTGGGAGGCCAATGTTAATTGGTGTTCAGTTGTATAAGCATTAGCACATCTCATTACCATGGAGAATGTTTGGCCCCGCCCCCTCAGTCAAGGTCTATTGACTTTGAAACTTTTCATAGTTTACATGTATTAGTTTGTGATTAGGTCAATTTATGGGGAACCACTAGTGGTAGTTCAATGATATTTGGTATGCAGTTGTATAAGTATTGGCATATTTCATTTCCATGGAGATTATTTGGCTCTGCCCCCTTAGTCATGGTCTATAGACTTTGAAAATTTTGCTAGGTTTACATGTATTAGTTTGTAATTAGGTCAGTTCAAGGAAATTAGTGGGAGGCCAATGTTAATTGGTGTTCAGTTGTATAAGCATTAGCACATCTCATTTCCATGGAGAATGTTTGGACCCGCCCCCTCAGTCATGGTCTATTTACTTTGAAACTTTTGCTAAGTTTACATTAGTTTGTGATTAGATCAGTTTAAGATGAACTGCTAATGTTAAGTCAATGATATTTGGTATGCAAATTTATTGGCATTTGCAAGTATCATTTCCATGGAGATTATATAGCCCCTTCCCTGATCATGGTTCATTGATTTTGAAACTTTTACATAGTTTACAAGTTAATGTTTGTGTTTAGGTTTGTTTAAAGGGAAAGACTTATAATAAGTCATTGGTATTTGGTATGCAGTTGTATTAGCATTGGCACATCTCATTCCATGGAGATTGTTTAGCCATGTACATTCAGTCATGGTTCATCGACTTTGAATATTTGCATAACTTACATGTTAAAGTATTGCTATTTTAATTTCAACATTTGCATTATCAAAATTACAAAAAGGTGAGACATATCTCTGTGATAACAGTTTATTTTTTGTTAAAAATTTCAGCAAAAACTACATCCCACAGGAATGGCTATTATCAAATATGATCCCTTGAAAGATGCTCCATATAGAGATAAGAATAACAGATGTCTTCCTGTGGAATTTGGTAAGAAATATACATCACATATCTTAGTTCGAAATATGTATTTTGTTTTATGTCAAATTTTATGTTTACATATTTTTTTAAATCTCAATTTGTATTGTTTTATCTGTTGACATGTCATAAACTAAGATATTTGGCAACAAGGTTTTGTTTTGTTTTGTCTGTTGGCATGTCATAAACAAAAGATATGAGTTGCAATGTTTTAGGTTATTTTGTCTGTAGATATTTCATAAACCAAGGTATTGAGTCATCAAGTTTTGGGTTATTTTGTCTGTAGACATGTCATAACACAAGCTATTGTATTACATAGTATTGAGTTTTTTTATGTTTTTTTTGTTAAAGTTTCATGATTTGTTTTGTCATAAAATAATCCAAGCTATAATATTCTGTTGCAGAGTATTGTGCTGTTTTTTTCTGTTGATATGTCATAAAACAAGATATTTGGCAGCAATATTTTGTGTTGTTTTATCTGATGACATATCATAAAGCAAGCTATTATATTACAAGTTTTTATGTTTTTTTTTTGTCATAATAAGATATTTGATTACAATGTTTTGATTTGTTTTGTCTGTTGACATGTCATTAAATAATCCAACCTATTGTGTTGTTTTTCTGTTGACCTGTCACAATCCAAGATATTTGGTTACAATGTTTGGTTTAGTCTGTTGACATGTCACAAAGTGAGAAATTGTTTTGTTTTTTATGTTGACATGTCATAATCCAAATATTTGGTTACAAAGGTTTTTTTCTGTTTTTTGACAAGTCACTATCCAATCTATTGTGTGTCAGGCCTAGGGTATTGTGAAGTTTTTTGTTGTTGACATGTCATATTCCAAGATATTTGATTACAGTGTTATGATTTGTTTTTTTTCTGTTGACAAAAAATAACCTAAGCTATTGTGTTACATGGTATTGTGTTGTTTTTTCTGTTGACATATCATAATCCAAGATATTTGATTACAATGTTTTGTGTTGTTTTGTCTGTTGACATGTCCTATTCCATGCTATTGTGAACAGGGTATTGTGTTAAGTTTTATTTGTTGATACATCATAATCCAATATATTTGGGTACAATATTTTGTGTTTTGTTTCTGTTGACATGTCATGAAACAAGCTGTTGTGTTACAGGGTATTGTTTTGTTATTTTCCATTGGTGACATTTCATAAAGCCAGATATTAGCTTACATGTTGAACATAATTATGATGGTAATTGATAAGATATAAACATTTTATATTAAGTGTTTACCTGGTGGATATTTTACGTTTTGAGTTGTATTTACTAGATGATCATTTAATGTTAATTATATAGGTGAATATTTTATGTTTATGGATTTATTTACAAGGTGAACCAGGATTGTTTATAGCAGGAATACCAGAATTTTATAAAGGTGGATTTTACAAAGGTCCTAAAGAAGTGAATGAGAAGAAAGTCCTAAGAAATGTGTTCAAAGATGGTGACTCTTTCTTTAACTTTGGTGATTTGATGTACATGGACAAAGATTACTTTATTTACTTTCAAGACAGAGTTGGGGACACATTCAGGTATTTTGCTACAAGCAGAGATGTCAATGTCTGATTGATTGCTTATATATAACTGGAAACATGAAAGTATAAAAGTTTAAAGAAATACATGATTAATCATGATTTTATTGGGTAAATATTGATTATTTAGTTTTGGATGAAATTCTTTAAATCATAATTAGACAGCATGTGTCAAATAATTCAGTAACAAATTCTAGAGAAATGGTTTTATATCCAAACTCAAGGTGTTCATGGTATACAGCATTAATGACTTTGTGTATCCTCCGATTCATCTGTTCATCCCCATTCATCTGTCCACCCCCTCGTTCATAATTCTATGGACTCTTGAAACTTATTTTTCAGCTTTTCTTTTATAGAAATATTTGTTGTTTGGTCTTCAACATTTTCATGTTGTGTGGTCTTGTATAAAAAGTTTCAGTTAGGCCTTAGGCTGTCACTTCATGTTTAAAGATACTTTGGACAAATATGCTATGTTAATTGGGCTGCTACTACATTTTTCAAGCTAAAGCTTTTTATGCTCCCACCACACAATTTACAAGGGAATATTGTTTTACCCCTATCCATTCTTCTGTCTGTCAATCTTTAGTCTGTCCTTACATAGAGAAAATGGTTTGTTCGGCAAAATACGTCTTCAGTTTTCCAACCTGTACATTTATATAATGCAGGGTGTTAGTACATATACTAAAGGTTTGCATATGATAAGCATTTTTATATTCTTTGAATTTTCGACAGATGACAGGATGTTTAACTTTGTCATTTTTGGGGAATATTATGATTAATAACAAACCTTTATAAATTTGCCCGTTTATAAATTTTGAAATTATAAAGAAAATACTAAGGTTTCAACTCCCTCAAGCAAAGTTGGCCTTAGAAGGATTTGGGTATTATTTTAGGTTAATTTTGATTATATAGCTCTTCAACTGTTTCGGTTTTATACATCTATGGCTTTCAAATATTCGGGTTTGAGCGTTCCTGATGAAGGTAAATTCAGAAAAGCGCTTCGGACGCATGAAATGTATAAAGTGTTGTTTTCATATTTTATGCATGAGTGGTACTTGGTTTGTCTGGCAGACCCTTTCTACAGTTTTCAGGCTAGAACTTTTATATTATGAAGGCTATTAGTACAAATACAAAGGGTTTGTAAGTTATCAGGATTTAGATTTTCTTTAAAGTTTTCATAAAGACAGTTTGTTGAACTTTGTCCTTTATTGGTGAAATTATGCATGCAGGGTACACAGTTTATTTGACTAACTTCTTCAGTTTTCAATTTCAAGCTATAACTTATGCAGTGTTTTAGTAAGAAGCTTTTTATTTATTTAGACATTGATAATGCATATACTCCAGACATGCATATCATGCATAATTTGATTCTATGCAGTTTATGCAATACACATTTTATAAGCACTTTAAAAAATAGCAAAATTGAGAACTGCATGAACTATAACCTCATTGATATGTGCTAATCTTTTACACTTGACTCAATATTTTCTGACACTTAAACTATTGATATTATGTTTTACAATACAGATGGAAAAGAGAGAACGTGTCAACCAGTGAAGTAGCCAATATTTTCTGACACTTAACTATTGATATTATGTTTTACATTACAGATGGAAAGGAGAGAATGTGTCAACCAATGAAGTAGCCAATATTTTAACTTCCATGGACTTCATTCATGATGCTAATGTTTATGGTGTAAATGTTCCAGGTAAATATCAGTTACTTTTATGTCATAAATTGATAAATACAGGGCTAAATGTAATATGATAATGCATAAGAAGGAATAGTAAAAAATACTACATTTTACAAGAATCTGAATAAAATACATTGAGGTCAGTTTTTGAGGCCAGTAATTGCAGTCAGTTATTGAGGCCAATAATTACTGTCAGTTATTGTGGCCAGTTGAGTAGATCAGTTGATGACCTAATTATTGTCTGTTATTGATGTCAATTTTTACTCTGATGACAAGAATACACAAAAGACCTTTGTTCTCAATGCTAGTAAAACTATAATTTGAATTAATTTTACTGAAATATTTTAAATGTGTTTTTTTTTCCTATACTCAAAAATATGAATTGTTTTTGTAGGTCAAGATGGAAGAGCAGGAATGGCAGCATTGCATTTAAATGAAAGTGAGAAGTTGACTGAAGAAAGACTGAAGCATATTTATGATCATTGTTTAAAAAATCTACCAAGTTATGCCAGACCATTATTCCTACGATTGGAGGAACAAACAAGAGTTACAGCGACCTTTAAACAACACAAGGTTGACCTTGTCAAAGAAGGATTTGACCCCAGGGTCATATCTGATCCTCTGTATTATTTATCAAATGAAGCTAAGAGTTATGTCCCTTTAGATGCGAGCTCTTTTGGAAGTGTACTCAAATCAAGACTTTGATTTATAATTACTGAATTTGTACAAAGGTTGTTATTAGTTTGCTATTAAACAGGAAATATACTATTTTGAATATAAGGCTGTACAATGAATTATCCCTTATTAAGGGGAAATAGAGGTGTTATCAGTATTTTATAAAAAGAAATGAATTGTGTTGTTGATTAATTTACATATAAAGTTTACACTTTAAATATGTATTATTTTTATATTTTATTCAAAGGTCCTCAATGCTGAATCAGGTTAAGAAATCATTAATCCAATATTAATAAATATTTGATATATAGCTGTTTTTTATGCGCATAATTGTCAGAGAATTGGGTATTGTAAATGCGAGTCAATTAAAAAAAAAATTATCATTTTAAGATTTATATATAATATTGTCTTGACTATACTACCTCCAATTGAGGAGAAACAAAATAATTTTATATATTTTATAAATTTATGAAGCATTATATTTAATCTTTATTGAAGAAAAAACTGTTTAAAAATTGTTAGATATTTCAAAATATTTGTATGGTTATATAAGATTCGGCTATTCGTTTATTTTAAATGTGGGCCTCATTACATTATAGTTGTCTGGTTTGTGAAAAACATTTACCTCATACTTTACTTTTCTTCTATTACTATGTAGAAAATGAATTCTGTATATAAAGTCTTTTTTAAGATATAAGCAGCATTAGGTATATGACTTACCATCATAGACAGATAAGTTTTAGAACAATCAATATTAAAACATACTACTCATCAACTAAGTTTTGCAAGCAATTTATATATGTGATTTAGGGAGTTGTAAAATAAGAGATATAAATTGGCTCAAATACAGAAAACTTTGATTTTCTCTTATACCAATACATCAACAAAAATTTAAAAAATCTCTAGAAAGTGACCTTTACATATCTGTTTTGGTGAATTTGTGTTGTTAAATTGCTGTCTTTTTTATATTCATCCATACAAGGAATAAATTTCCTTTCTAATGGGAAGTAATAGGTCCTTTCTATAATCCCAAGAAAGAGGAGAGCAGATATCTTTGAAAAAATTTAACACTAATCTTTGTGGTTGTTATTAAGTTAGATTAACACCTTCAAATCAACAATGGTGCCATGTTATCTTTAAATTTCATATTTTTTTAAATTCTTTATATTCAAGTACGAAAATATTATGTATAAAGCATTAAACTTTAAGTGACTGTGTTCAGGGCTTTAATATATTGTGATTATTTTGTAATGTGTTGATTTTTATAGATTATTGAGAATAAATTTAAACAAAGAGTAATGTTTGTCTTGTTAGTGAAGCTTGTGTAGTTTTGGATAAACGAATGTTAGCTACATACGAGATGCCATTTATTATACCTTACAAAAATAATAATACTTATCTTACCTCCTATACATTTCAAGGAATATGATTGGTTAAAAGCAACCGCTTGGAGACCGTGTATATTCCATATTGGGTTAATAGGTGGGGCTTATTTCAATACACGGTTAGCAGTGGTGTTACGTCCCTTTAAAAAACAACTCGGATGAAAAATCTTAAAGGTTTCAACAGACGAAGAAATTAATGATGAACGATTGAAATAAATTCACAAAACACAAAACACAAAACACATTTAAAGCTAACAAGTTGTTACTGTTGGCATTTGTTTTTGTATAGACCAATGGAAGTAGGTTCTTAATACTAACGGTATTGAAGACTTGATCACTTTGATAGGCTACTAACCTAAATACCACATGTTAAGATAGTCGGTAAGATAAATTCGTTACATAGTGTGCTAGTGACCTAATACGATATATATGGGCTTCGCTGTCACTCCATATGGAATTTACTGATCCCATACAAATCGTTTTAGGTCACTAGCACACTATGTAACTAATGTGTGATTTCATACATATGAACAGAGCAACTATATTCAGATTCATAAGAGATACAAATATCTTGTTATAGAAGGTATAAATCAAACTTTGTAAAACAAAAGCTAGTATGTTGCAAACAACACATTCTCTGAAACTGATGATCAAGATATTTTAGATTTTGGATGAAACATAATTGTTATGTGAGGATGACATATTTTTATGTCCCACCTAGGGGCATTATGTTTTTCGGTCTGTGCGTCCGTTCGTTCGTTCGTCCGTCTGTCCTGCTTCAGGTTAAAGTTTTTGGTCAAGGTAGTTTTTGATGAAGTTGAAGTCCAATCAACTTGAAACTCAGTATACATGTTCCCTATGCTATGATCTTTCTAATTTTGATGCCAAATTAGAGTTTTGACCCCACTGAACATAGAAAATGATAGTGCGAGTGGGGCATCCGTGTACTATGGACACATTCTTGTTTAACATACACTCAGCTTTCCTATGGGAACCAACTGTGTTCTTCTTCTTGCTAACTTGTTCCTTTACTCATATGAGACAGACTTCATACAGGACCTTCTTAAAAAGAATGGAAAGAAAGCTCGCATTATCCTTTAATTTCATGCTCAGGTTTATAGATGATGTCTTTTCACTAAATAATCCATAGTTTGGTGACTATGACTTGAAATGAAGGATATCCACAGATACAGTTTAGTCTGCCTCCTGTCTGTACTAACATCTGGGCACTGACAAGGTCAGTTGAGAATAAAAACAGGTGCCAACCCGAGTTGGTTGAATGTTATGGAATTTCTGTGTCACATGACCACGGGTTTTGGCCAATTGTAACCACAATCCTGTCCTCATTTCGTCAATTGTGACATCACCGAACAAGACCCATCACTGAATTAGTATGAGCAGCATGATGGATGCCGCTAATGGAGCAGCATGATGGATGCCGCTAATGGAGCAGCACGATGGATGCCGCAAGTGGAGCAGGTTCTATTTACCCTTCTAAATTACCAGTCTTAGAGTTTACTCCCAGTTTATGCTCAGGAGATTGGTGTTACTCAATTTTTAGTTTTCCGTGTGCTATGTGGACTTAATTTGTCTTTTCGTCGTTTTTCGTTTTTTGCCATAATGTTGCCAAAGAGAGGCGAAAGATACCAAAGGGACATTCAAACTCATAAGTTGAAAATAAACTGACAACGCCATGGCTAAAAGAAAAAGACCAACAGACAAACAATAGTACACAAAACACAACATAGAAAAGTAAAGACTGAACAACACGAACCCCACCAAGAACTGGGGGTGATCTCAGGTGCTCCGGAAGGGTAAGTAGATCCTGCTCCACACGTGGCACCCGTCGTGTTGCTCAAGTTAGTACAAACACGGTAATAAGTCTAATTCGGTAGGTCACATTCGGGAAAAGGGGACGGGATTGTAGTTACGACATTAGGAACATACCCGCTATCATCTGTGAAACGGATATTCCGTAATAGTCAACCAACTCGTGATGGCCGCGTACGTAAAATTTACGAAGGGATGATTTCAATTTCACCACTTGGAACTCTTGCATGGTTAATAGCTTCCTTGTGAGCAGCAACCCTCTATCAAGGAAATCATGATAGGAAATACAAGCCCTGTATCGTATCAACTTGGAGAGTTTCTCTTACACTTATGAGCTTTGAATTTCCCCTTTGTGTCTTTTGCCTCTTTTTAATGTAATAAAGAAAATATGGAAAACGTACGGCGAGTAAAGTGTTTAAAGTTGTAGATAGCTACAGGTCACTATTCATATGATGGATGGATGATGAGAAAGGACTTCAAATACACTACTGTGAGTGCATGCTTTGTATGTGTGTTTGAAGCATAAAGTACATTTATCACAAATGGCAACCTTTGAAATATTTGAAGTATTTGATAGCTTTTATGTTTATACTCTTCGAAAGTGACGGATCTTGGGGAAATCTAGGAATGATCCGAATCCATTTGAAAAATGAAGTAGGTCATCGACATTTCGGATGGAGTTGTAACTTATTTTATCATTACATTTGGATATTTATGGAAATATTTCGCACCAACAAAGACATAAAAGGTAAGTATTTGTATGTATGGAAAACATTTCTAGTCGTCAGTGAAGATTTCACGCAAAATTGGGTCTCAAAGTTGAGTGCAATTTTCTCTCTCGGAGTCCAGCTGACAAAAATGAAAAAAAAAACGGTCACCAGCAGGAGCTGATTGACCGCCATGGAATATATATGTATCGCATATGATCGCTGATATGTTCATCTCGTCATGAACACAATTCTGTCTTAGTTTCCACGATTTAAAAATTGATGTTCTTTAACTTGTGTTACTTAACGTAAAATGAAACTTTTGCTGATTGATGATGAATTTAATTCGAGATATTATGCTTTCTGATGAAAGTTGTAAATAATATCTAACAACCCTTTATTCAAATATCGTACAACCCTTTATCCAAACTTTTCAATATATTTAAACCACTAATTGTTAATTATCAATTATCCATATAAAGTATTTTTAAGCACGAGAAAAGAAAATCATTGAAGAGAAAGATTGAACCAAAACATGAATTAAAAACAAAACATTCAATTTATTCAATTTGATAATTTCTTTTTAAATTTATTATGATATGATATATCATTTCTGATTTTTTTTTTATGATTGAAAATAAAGACATTTAAGGTACATCAAAACCTGCTTTTATCATTGTAATTTCAAGATTGACTAACACATCGATTTAAAATAAGAATGTTTTATACAACAGCTATGTGGATGCATCTGTGTATAGATAAATACACTGAAGAATGGTGACAATTATAAATGTCTGGTTGATTGATGAGTGTAATGATTGTATAACTTAAAATATTAAGTCATCAAATAAGTTAATAGTAAAAGAAAGAAGAAAACCTGAAAAAAAAAATCACAACGTTTTTAAAGATCATCTATTAGTAAAACAAACAGACGATCGAAATATCGAAATATCGAAATTCAATATATGTGTAATTGATACCTTTCATTAAGCAAGGGATCTAAACCAAAGTTAATACCGGTTGTCCTAATACGAAATACAATCACAAAGTCATATAAATCCACATTATATGTAGACAAAAAAAAACAGATATTCAAATTCATTCTATTATATTTCGTGATTCATGTTCGCGGTTTTAGTTTTTAAAACAAGTCTCTTATCGTTAACACGAAACCTTCCTAATGACCTTTCGTTCATAAGTATTTTAGTTCATTCGATCATTATT